ACAGGTGACAGTGAAAGTGGGAGGTTCAGCAACAATATTCTACGGTACGCAAGTAAAAATCAAGTGTCCAGTCAAAGGGTACAACAGGACAAAAATCCAGTGGGCCAAGGACCATCAGATCATCACCAAATCGAAGAAGTACAAAATTTCCAAAAAGGTGAGTCGGAGTCGTTGTTATACCAACTTTCCTTTTCACACCATATCGCACTTTCATAACAATATCGTAACTAAACGAGAATATCGCTTTTTCAAATTTTCACTTACTTTTTCCGAAGAATAACTTTTTTTTCAATAAGTGATTACTTTCGCTTTCAAAGTATATGGTCGCATACATTGATTGTTAAGAAAACATTATCAAAAGTCGAATCATGGTAGGTACAGGCTACAGACATTAAAACATACGAGTCCTTAACCTGAAAGAATATTTCTCAACATTTTTTTGTTTAAATTATCCAGCTTGTTATGTTGAATTGTACCAATATATCCATCTTTGTCTAAATCAGGGAGCTCTTCGGATCACGTCTCTTTCTCTCCGCGACCACGGCGTCTATACGTGTGTGGCGGGTCGCTCCAGCGCCAACCTCACCTTGCTGGTCAAGCCGCGGCCCGGGGAGTTTCCCTCCAGTGAAGAGATTGAACGACATAAAGCCTTGGACGAGCCGTCTTCTCCACTTGCTGACAGGTAAATGATAAATAAATATATACCTATATTAAACAATCACAAATTGTCTATGTTTCCCGAAAGCTACAATTTATGGCTACAGTCGATAGGCATTTAATTGACAAACAAAAGTGATATTGTCACTCCTTGTGAAAGAGGTCTTCCGGAAGTACTGCCACCTTACCTATTTCTGCCGCAGTAATGTGAGCATTGCTATGTTCCGATTTTGAAGGATAAACTGGTGAAATTACAAACACCATCTCAGGGTGATGGGAGCACTTTTTTTCTAAGCTACATGCCTATCCATAACAGTTGCAGTGCCGTTCAGAGCTTTAAATCGCAAAGATCTAAGGGGCACTGCCACTGCGTCAGACATAAATTGACAAGTCCAGTGTACCTGTAATTTCACCAGCATTCTTACCCTTCAAAACCGGAAGACAGTAATGCTGAACATTACTGCTTGGCGGCAGAAGTAGGTAAGGTGGCAGTACGTCTCTGGATGAACTCTTTCACAAGGACCTCTCCTGCTAATAAACTGCACTGGAAGTGCCCCTCAGATCTTTGCGATTTAAAGCACTGCGCGGCACTGCAACTAATATGGACAGTCGTATCGCCTACCACCAGGCGCACGACTTGTTCGTACCATCACTTGCTATAATAAATTAATTCAATTAGATTATAATTTACGGGAATAATATCAATTATTGTTGATTAATATGGATGTATCAACAGCAGGGCGGACGGGCGATACCGAGCTATGATAGGCGGAAGATCAGATGATCAGTCTCATGAACAAAGACCAGGTGACAGCAAGAAGACTTACAAGAATCGGCAGAGGGGTAAGTCTTAATTTGATTATTCGCACCTTTACAATGAAAGTGACCCAATTCAAAAAATGAATAAAATTATAACAAACTAGTGGAGTAATTTCACAAAAAAATAATTGAATATCAATTCAATAAAAATTTAATGAATAAAATTAGTTTATACTACCGAGTTCTTAAAGTTGAAAATTTGATATTTAGTACTGAGTCACTTCCATTGCAAAGGTGCGACTTTTATTTTCTTTTTAACAATATATTTTCAGCTCCAATTCCCACCGCTCGTGGAAGAATGTTATGCCATTCTTCCATGAGGTGAAGTTACGTCAAAAACATTTATTGCTCCATTAGACACAGAAAAATATAACCCACATCCTGTTCAATTCTTGTAACTGTATAGACTAATTAATTGTACACACGGCAAAACTGCTGTGTGTTGCTTCTATCGCCCACAAGTATTCATTAAGTCAAAACCGCTAGTAAAATTAGCATGAGACCACTTGGCCCGATAATTACATGATTATATGTGAATTTAATACGCTTTGAGAAATGCCGACAGATAATCAACTTTTCTTTTTTAAAGTCGACTGGTAAAAAAAGAGTGTATTAAAAGTTCTATTCTCTTCAGCGCCGGTAAATAACTTCCGATTGTTTACGAAGCACTCCAGCTCCAGACGAGTCTTAATTAATCTTACAGCTTAAATCCGTATTGAAATATAGTAAATCATCTTACAAATTCTCTTCTGAGCCTTTTTTAGCAGATTTAGTACAAACTTTTACCTATTTTCCAAGTTTTTCTTTTTTTAAACTGGAAAAAATGACTGACAATTTATTTGCAAAACCATAATAGCCTAATACTTAGACCTACCGCCTCTCAAGTAGAGGCAGCGAATTAGAATTTATGTGCGAAATTTTATTTAAAATTGATCATGAGATTTTCCGTGAAGGGTGATATCGTGATGAAAATCTGCACGTCGATGAAGGTTCACAACACTCGTAAAAACGTATGGGGCCAGCCAGTGTCGCGGGCTATGGCCTAAACCCTCGCCTTAGAGGAGACCCGTGCCTTGCAGTGGGAACGTATAAATGGGTTGATGATGATGACAATATATTTAGGTCATTGGCTAATAGTCTAGGTGTAATGAAAAAATATCCATTTAGAAAAAATATTTTTCAGAAAAAAAATATTATGAGGAACGAACACAGAAAAACTTTTTCGACCCTATGGGATTTGAACACACGAACATACTGCAACGTAGTATTGCTCTTACCAACTGAGCTACGGGTCAAGTTATCGAGCTGTCGAAATGCTCCTATGTGTTTTTGTTAAAGATCTTTGTACTGAATGAGAGATTTTATAACCTTATTCATAAAAAAAATATTATTTAACTTTCTCCTATACTTTTGCTAATATTTTGAACAAATGCCACCATTTTGAAATTTTTCGAACGATTTGCTACTAATATGAGAACTCTAAATCTAATCGAAATATGTTGTCTTACTGGTACATTAAAAATATTTTATTTACTTGAGTTTATGCACCTGTTACTAGTCCAAGTTCACTAACTGATAAAGTGAAAATATACTGTTTACAATGGATTAAAGTGCCTCAGTGGCGTTGCGAAACAGTAACTATTTATATCACCCGGCTTTGTTTACTTTATCAGCTTAATTAGCTGAAGTTGCGAGAGAAATACACCTCCCTTTTTCATAATGAAACTAAATGTAAACATATAAAAGTCATAATAGGGTGTTTGACGAATAGTAAAAATCATAATTCTTTTTAATATAAGTATGTAATAATATAGGGGTGAATTATAAAATACAAACAACTTCCCAGGACTATATTACTAACATCATAAACAACAACTTAAGTTCCGTGATTTTTAATAATTCATCAAATTTAACTATCATACAAAAATAATAGTTATTTGTTATGCAAGAAACCTGAGCAAGCGAAGGAAGCTAAGATTGATTCCTGAGCGTAGAGAGGGATTCAAGGCACGAAACGCAAAACAACTTGCTGCCGAGCGAAACACACAACTTTTCCCCTCACTATGGCGAGGAAAATGGTAGATGAAAGAAAAACAACTGAACTATAAAACATCAATTTTCTTAATTAGAAAAACAAGTTTATCTTCGGATGCGTTCTGAATTTTTAACCTCATCAATTTTTATTCTTGCTTGTACTTTTATTTTGTGTGATTAAGTGATTATTGAAATTATTTTAGTTCTTCGACGAATTTAAATAACATAACGAACGACACGAAAATTAAAAAGTTTAATTTTCGTGCGCTTGTTCGAGTCCCATCGGATCGGAGTATCAATGGATCAATTTAAAAAATATTTTGCCACAGATCAGGCTATAAATATACATTATGGAAATATATTTGTCCTGAAGTTGGATATAAAAAGGAGTGATTTACCTCAACCTAAACACAACAATTTAATTTAGTAGCAGTAGAGCTCCTTGTGAAAGATATGTAGTACAGAGTAGTTGCTTATTGTCATGTCAATCATGTCAGCATTACTGTGTTCCAGTTTTTAAAGGGTAAGTTTGCTGGTGAAATTACAGACACATGGGATTTGTCAACTTATGTCTCAGGGTGACGGGCGCAGTGGCAGTGCCCCTCAGATCTTTGTAATTTAAAGCTCTGAGTGGCACTGTAACTGTTATGGACAGGCTTGTAGCTAACCATCAGGCGCCTGTCACTTGATAATATATATTAAAAAATGATAACTATGACCTTCGGAGCCTTTAGAGGTTTTAACCAACAAGCCCGTGCGGTATTAAAGTTTTTTTTTATAATACTATGGGACGGGACTAAATCGCAAAAATCTAAAGGGTATTGCCAATGCGACCGTCACCCTGAGACATAAATTGACAAGTCACATGTGCCTGTAACATCACCAGCACCCTAACCCTTCAAAACCGGAACGCAGTAATGCTGACATTACTGCTTGGCAGTTGAAATAATTAAGGTGGCAGTGTACTTCCCTGGACGAACTCTTTCACAAGGAACTCTACTGCTACTAAAAAAATTAAAAACATTTAAAAAATAAATACTGTAATCAGTAATGTATTGGTCAGAGTTTCAAAATGGCTACCGTAAATACCTATAGCGATTTCCCGCAAAAAAAGTGGTAGAAAATTACACATTGAAGACAAATTATAATATAATATCTGGCAGTATGGTCGTTCCGTCACTTGATGTTATAAAAAAAACAGATCTGTGCTTTTGCTAATGCAATGAAGTAATGTTTTATTTGTTATTCCTTAGGGAAAAATCTAGACAAAGTTCGAGATGCACTCTACAATACCGCCACTACAAGCACCAAAGCATCCCCTAGCTTCAACTCACAAGCTAGAGACGTTTACGACGAGAATGAGGTGAGTTTCAGTACCGTAGTACCAATTGCAAAGGAGTACCTAAAGGTTGACTTATTAATTTAGGACTTTTGACATGTTCGTGTTATCAGTAGAATCTTGACGTTCAACAATATGACGAGGGTTATTAATTGTTATGTCAATCTTTAAATCCGCTTCATACCTGTGTTGGTAATTACGCTTTTACGTGGCTTTATGAGACCTGGTCACGCTATGAGTAATAGGATGTTATACCTTTGTCACTCCCGTGCGTTTTTGTACTCACACCAATGAGTGATGAGTTATGGGTTATAAGGCCCATTATCAATGAAACTATGTCAAACACTACTAGGATTTGATGACATTTCTATAGTACTTAGTCAAAATAACAGAACAACGTTTATTACAACACAGAAGTCTTTTCTGCGCTCTATTTAAATAGATAATGAGCTTTAAGCCTTAGTCACGTCCATGTGATCGGGAGTAATAGACTTATATTGTAGTCCCGCCAACGTGATCACGCGGAACAGGGTGATATACATCCGAATAATTATGAACAACGGTGTTAATGTGCAAGTCACACAGGTATGATAAAATGGTATAACAACTATGACTATAGCAAATATTTCTATGTGTGTTTATGTTTGTTTGTGATTGATACAATTTACAAATATGTGGGTGGATAAATCGTAGTTAATTACGTTGCTACAAATTTTATAGACAGGGTTAATTAGAGATGTGTCAGGAGCATAGATAAGATATAGAGGTCTGTATATCTTGCCTATCTCATTGTGATTGACGTGTTTTATAAAGGTATAAGTCGATAAATCTTTGTTACTTACATTACCTTTAATTTTATTATGGACGTATTAGTGATTTCAATACAGCACACGTTTCAAGTTTTGATTTTAATATAATTCCTGCTTAGGTTTAATTAAGTATCTTATTAGCTAATATCCATAACACGCTTCGATTTCGAACTCCGGTGAATTTGTGAAGCTTACTATCTATTGCGCTCTATTTTGATAGATAATGGGCACTAAGCTTTAGTCACACCCGTGTGTCTGGATACCATAGTCACGTCGATGTGTTCACATGATTTATTTAGGTAAAGCACTAACCTTCGGTTATGTATGGCATAGTTAATGTGGTGACCGTCTTTGACGACAGTTGGCGGTTACGGCGTCACAGTAAATACGTAGATATACGCTGTAATACTGTAGATATTATACTGCCAAGTACGAGATCCTTCTAAATATATAGGATTTAGGTTTTAGATTACTCCGGTGATGTAATCCGTTTTCAGCTGCATCACATCTTCAAAGAATCAAAAGTTTTCGATTGGAAAAGTTCGCTTCGTAAAATGCTTCTATCGGGAATTTAACCTTCTTATCAACCAGGCTATTTAACTAATACGACTCAGCCACGGGGGTTGGTATTTTGATTACTGTAAAATATATAGCCACAACCGTATTGAATAGAACAGAATAGAATTAATTTATCACAAAAAAATATACAGAAACGAGTAAAAAAGATGATAATAATAAGAATATTTTTTTCTAGGTGTTGGATCTTTGTATTAATATCCCAGTAAAAGTAATTTCACAAAAGAAATAATTGAATATCAATTCAATACAAATTTAATTATAGTTAATAGCGATATCCCTAGCCAGGGCTGGTAGCTGTGAAGTTACCTAACTGGGTGACGAAATACTTTCATAGATTTATCATAGACGGCGCTACAGCTAAAAAGTCGTTGAAAACCAGCACATAGAAAAATTCGTGAGGTCCGCTAGTTCGTTCCGTGGCTTAGATTGACATCTAGCGTCTGGCACGGCTTGCGAGAAGACGTCGCTTCGAATCGAAGGATTTTTTTCTAGGTGTTCGATGATTGTATTAATAATTATAACAAACTAGTGAAGTAATTTCACAAAAAATAATTGAATACAAATTTAATAATAATAATATATTGTTCAATAAAGCCTTACATTAGGTAAAGTACAATAACATGTTATTTGGGAAAAGACCTGTACTTATAAAGTACAGCCACTGACTAAAATAGAATAGAAGATAAAGCAAAAGAAAACAAAAAATAAAATAACAAAAAAGACAACGAAACAAACATAATCCAATTTTAAACAGTCAACCTAATTTGAATAAATGTCATTTGTGTTGTGCGGCTGTGGTGTATATAAAAGGATCCACTCAGCTTATGTCACAGACGAGTAAAGACTGTAACGCTGATTTTCAGTAGACCCTAATTGCTATTGCTCCGTGTGCTGTACACAGAGCTGTTTCACCCAGCAAGCCAAATTATCAATCTAAATAAGTGCAACTAAAGCACTTGTGTTGTGGAAATCGGAAACAACGACGGTACCACAAACACCCACACCTAAGACAATATAGAAAAAACTGTTTTTCTACAATGACCCGGCCGGGGATCGAACCTCGACCTCGACCTCTAGATGGCCACACCTTGAAAACCGGTGTGCAAGGCACCCGACTCGAGGTCGTAAATCTAATAAATACTTAGTCAAAACTCTAAATCTAAAATATCTTTATTGGTAAATTAGCAAAATCACGCTAAGGGCGCGTTTCCATTCTGTCGTGACGACAGATAGTCGTGCAGTTTAAAGTATCGTGACTGGTATATTTTTTGAAGCGTCAAAAAATATACAAGCGTTCAAGCGTTTATACGGTCGTTCATGACTTTTTTGACGTTACGGCGACAGACTGTCAAGACTAAAGGAAGAGCTAGAACACCAGTCGTCTGACTATAAATAAAACATTACGATAAAAACGTAACGACAGATAATCGCAGCTACTATTGTTGTCTCGTTTTAATTATCGTTGTCTGCACGTGTTCTGCTCCCTACTCTCCCCTCTCGTACCCCGCGGCGACTGCTGTGCATCAAACGATTCTGTCGTGCAAACGACAAGGCGGCTACCGTGAACAGCTAGATATTACAGTCGTTCAACGATAAAAAATATCTACGACACAGTCACGACAGTCAGTCGTCCAACACGCCCTAAATGCTATGATTATATTTTTTGGGATTAAATAGCATTTCGAAATTCACCACAAGGGAAGGGAAGGGTGTAAACTGTTATGTTTTTTTAAATTACCTTGTGCAATCACAAAATGGGAGTTATCGTCGCAAATTTTCACTTATTTTGGGAATTACCAGAGTAATTCCCAAAATAAGTCACAGCCATCCATCATTCCTGAAGTGATAAGAATAAAAGTTTCCATTTTACAAGTAACTTTTAAACTTTCGCCATTTTTGCAAAACAATCATCGTGATTAGTTGTCACTTTATTGCTTATCAACGTCCATTGCAAAGTTAGGTAAGCAAATTACAAAATCGTAATTAACACTACCACTCATTCGTAAGATAGATTCCCTTAGGAAGTTTGAGAAATTTTAGAAGCTTTAGCTTAATTCTGTGCTACAGATTTCTCTTTGCAAATGGGTAATTTTCAGATCAATTTTCTCTACCTGATTTCAGTGGCAATTTCTATTATTATTTTTTTATGATACCATGTGACGGGACGCACAAGTTTTGCACGCCTGTCCATAAGTGACACTAATCGCAAAAATCTGAGGAACTTCAATACCGGAACGCAGTAATGCTCACATTACTGCTTGGCGACCATTGAACTACTAATAATACTAATAATGGTGGCTGTACTTCCCTGGACGAAGTTTTTCAGAAAGAGCTCTACTGCTACTATTAAAATATTAAATAATATTTCAGGATACTCCGCTTGAATATTAAATAATACTTCATGATAATTCTAGAACATTTAAATAATAAAAGTTGCCACCGAATTAGGAAGAGAAAACTAACCTGAAAATTATCCAAATAGATACGATTATCATTTACAGACCCGTCACGCGTCAAAGACACGCAGTCCCTTAAAATTTTGGCGCTGTGTCTAAGGCGCTGTTCGTCCAACATTTAGAAAATATACTATAAAACATATTAATCAACCAAAGGCACTTTGTTTGTTAATTACAATTTTGAGTAAGTTCGATTGTTATTGTTATGGAAATGAAACAATTTTTTCGGATTTAAAACGTGTTATTGTTTTTTCGCGTCAAAAATGAAAAGATTGTTTATTTCTTATGGTGCGTTCGCACGACCCGTGATGTCAAACGCACCGATTTGTATGGGCGAGCTCGCGAAACGGGCGAGTCCGGGCCGACGCGTTTTGCGGCACGTATTCGGATTTGTGTCGAGAGCATACGGCTTCGTTGCAACTTTTGGCTTAGCTAGGTGTAGTAGGTAGACGAGTTGTACACGCCATGTAGGCTCAGTAGCTTTCGGCGATGTGCGTATTTAGACACGGCGTTATGCTCGAAAGCAGTTCATATTTTAAATATGATATTTTCAATACGAGGGAAGGAATCTAAAAATTGAATAAAGATCGGTAAAAACATGGCGAATCCTCTACGTTGTACGAAGTCTCTATACAGTAAATATCCTGACAAGTTTTACTAATACACGAGAATGACTGTACAAACTTTTGATTACATTTAACAACGCGTAACCGTAACCGCTCTGCAAAAATCGCGTGCGTTGCCTGTAGTGCGCCTCGTGGCGAACTTCATGCGTTTTAATATATTTGTTCTTGCCGTTCGCCGCCCCGTACTAAGCTGCCGCTGACAGCGGCACGGTCGTGGCCAACTATATAGTTGATATTATGGACCATCGGCGCTTCCGAACAGGCCGCCACAGGCGTGCACGGGCGCGCTTGGGCGACCCTCTTTCTAAAGTAGCCTGTGTCCTTCCTTCCTGGTTAAGCGTGAAATGTAACGAACAGATTTTCGCATTTATAATATTTGCTGGGATGCCACTAGTGTTACTAATTTGCCTTGTGTTCCTTGTATTATTGTTTTTTAGATAATATACATTTCGATGGTTTTCTAGGAGAACAAGACTTCGTATAACGGCACAATGTTGACACGCGATTATTTTAACAAATAGAATGCTCGGTATCTTATTCACAATAAATTTTAATACATTCTGAATATAGTTGTGCAATAATTAAAAAAAACTTAACTACTTTAATTTGATTCTTAAAAAGCAACGATTTGTCCACCCACAAACTAGTATAACTAACAGCGAAAGTTTACAAAGAAACCTAACCCATATTTACTTGCACGCCGCTTGGGACTCAAAGGAGAGTGCTGTGCCCTCTCAGATGCTGCCTCCGAAGAGGAGTAGTGCCTCTCGAGTACTCCCGTGCATACATTACATTATAATGCAACTTCAGGTGAGAAGTTTCCAGAATAGAGAATGCGGTTTTTTTTTGGAGGTTTTGATTTTGAGGTTTGGTTTTTCTGAGGTTTTGATTCGATCGCATATTCAGGTTTGAAATTGGGACACACGGTGACACACTTAAGTGTACAAATTGTTGATTTCTTTTCCTATTTATATGATGTACGAGTCCTGTGTCTAATATTCAATAAGTCTTAAGTAGTTCTTATAGTTCTAGTAATTTTTGTAAAAAGATTCCAGTATTTTTCAAATTTGTACAATTTGTATAACATGAGTGTGTGACTCAATGTATGTACCATTTTGAGGTTTGGTTTTTATTTTATTTCGATGTTTGCATGTGGTTGTTTTTCAGGGTTTTAAGAAGTTCTATAATGGGTTTAAATTACCCTTCATTTGTTTCTAATTGCAACACTTTATATTTTAATAATTTAACTTAGTTTTGAGGGCGAAGAACATAAATTATGGTTCATTTATTTAAATTTCATAGTTTAACGCTATTGTCACTTTGTTGACGTGTTATTTTGTATGCAAGTATTATCTTTATACTAATTTCATACAGCCGATTATTTATTATTTTTAATCACATTTATCATATAATCATATTTTTAGTCAAAATTTTAATGTTTTATATCCACATAACAAGTGTATCGCAAAATTCATACATTTACGCATTTGTAAATAATATTCGTTCATATAAATTACAAAAAAAATCTTTTTTGTATTTGCCAGGTTTTTAAATTTTTTATATTTACATTTTCAAAAATAAAATTCCTTTATTACACGTTAGATTTTGACAACTGTTGCCTTTCGGTGGCAAAAGTACCCTACTGTTCCCGCCAAAATACAAATGGCAAAGTACTCACTACATACTATTACTGCCAATATGCAAGTGGCAAAGACCTCACTGTTCCTGGTAAAACGCCATAGATAAAATAATCACTACACCTTGCTCCCGCAAAAATGCAATTCTATAACAATGCCATTCTTTAAAAAAAAAGTTTTAATATATCACAACCCTGGTGTAACAAGACCACATCTGCGAAATGACCACTTTTCAAGAAAGAACTTTGAATGTTTTACAAAGAAAATTACTTGATAACATTCTTAAATAGACGCGTTAAAGTGAAAACCTCTCGTACGCGTTTTCACATAGTTCGTTTTTACTGATGTTTGAAGAAAAACTTATAAACTTCTTTCTCAAATATATTATTAAAGTGATATAGTATCTGAAAGATGTATAATTTAACTAATTAAAATGCTAACTACAAACATTATTGCGTTTACTGCATTTTACACCACATTTTTATCTTCGTCCTAAAAAATTACATATAAATCACTCTAAGACGACGATATGCATTTGTTTCATGTAGTTTGAATTATTTTTATGACTCTCATATGAAAAAGCGCTTTTGACGTTTTTACATATCGTCGGTGATAGTGCAAATCCTCGTATGTAGTATTGGTAAAAAGCTCGTATCTGCAGCAAACAATTTGACGACTAAATTACCGAGATTAAGTACACGTAATTGCAATCACCCCGACGATATGTGGCTTTGTTATACCAAGGTATGATTTTTTTAATACCTACGTTATATATTCGTGAATATACAATCCATAACCGTTCTTATTACAATTACCAAAGCAGCATCAAGAATTAAAGAACAGGTGTAATTGATATGTTCAGTCGTTCTGGAACTTTCAGACAATCGGCAACTCGCGTGGTCAACGAATGGCGGATCCAGTCCTCTCCTATCAAAACTATGGCGGAGCAACAAGGACTATAGTAGTAAATCTTGAAGATAAACAAATTGTCTTCCCTGAGGACGACGATTCCGATATTATTATAGTGAATGAAGATTACAGCCGTAACTCAATTGAAGCCAGGGAGCCGGAGAGTTTGAGAGATTTCGAAGAGACAACTGAGGGTAGTTCGGAAAGCAGGTAAATTAAACTTTTAGCAATAACAATAATTTAAATTAGTCTAGACTTCATTTCAGTAGTAATAGAAATTCTTGTGAAAGAGTTCGTCTAGGGAAATACTCGGCCCGTCAAATCATAACTGACGTAACCGACATTTTAGCCGAAATTGAGTTATTAATAGAGATGCCACGAATAGTGATTTGGCCGTATACCGAATACCAAATATTCGGGCACGCTCTCGGCCTAAACGACGAATATTTGGTCTGTGCATTTCACGCGTGACCTGTTACGACCTGTCTCATTGCGCTGCGTGCGGAGGTAACTGGTGTTTATGTTAAAAATTGATAAAACGATAGCAGCAATACATGACAGTTTCTGGACTTGTGTTGAAGAAGTCGCTACAGATAATACGCAAAATGATGAGGATGTGGAAAAAAGTTCTATTGCACATGAAATCGATTTTTATTTGAAAACTGTTCGCCTAAATCGGACGCCAGAGCCTTACAAGTGGTGGTCAGCAAACGCAAAGCAGTATCCAAGCGTGTCAAAATTTGCTAAGATTTATCTATCGTCTCCTGGCAGTAGTGTTTATAGTGAAATATTACTATTTTCATTATATTTACTTATATTATATTATATTACTATTTTCAGAAGCAGGACTTGTTTGTAAGGAAAAGCGCAATTGTTTGTTACCAACCACTGCTGAAAATTTGTTTTCATTCATCACAACCTACCACTGATTGATTTTAAGTATTAAAGCAACAATTTTGTGATGAAAATACATGATACATTTTGAATAATATGTGGTTTTTCATTATTTGATATTCGGTATTCGGCCGAATAGTCGTAGTATTCGGCCGAATACCGAATATTTAAAAAAGTGGCCGAATAGGCCGAATACTGAATAGTAGCTAAATATTCGTGGCATCTCTAGTTATTAACATATCTGGAATCAGCAAAACAAGATCTATAACCCCCTCTAATTGTTTTTTTAATATCTTATTTAGTATCGTGTTCTTAGGTTTTCGAGATTGTTACACGTAGGAAATGAATATATTTTTCCAGAATTTAAATGCGTATATTTGTTTTTTTCAAACAAACCGATATTTCGGGCCCTTTACAGGTCCCATGGTCACGGTTGACTGAGGTGGTAAAGTCGTCAACCAGTCATGTCTAATATTAGGTACCCTCCTTTCAACAAAAAAAGAATCATCAAAAGCACAAAAGCCAGAGTTATCGCGTAACATACATACAAAAAAAACATACAATCTAATTGAAAACCTCCTCCTTTTTTGAAGTCGGTTAAAAAAGATAGCAACTTTTGCAAGAGTAGTCAATATTTGACACTGATTTGTTCAGACTATACTAAATTATGGCTTTGTATTGTTGAAGTATTTGAAAATTATTTAAAATAATCCATTTCACTCCATATCACTGTTTGCAAGTGGACTACTCGTCTGTCAGGAGCGTAGCAAGGGGAGGTCCATAGTCTCTGCCTAACCAGGTGGGAGACAGGCATGACGATGTATATATGTATATCCCGCAAGTTACCAATATGCAAATGCATTAGTTATGACAAACGAGCACAATACGTAATTCACCGTACACTAAGAAATTAACAAAAGTCATTTTTATCTGTATTACATTAAAACACTTTTGTCGTAGATTGATCGAACTGGAAGACGCAAAAGAATATTCCTGGATGACAACGGACTGGTCGCCTTGTACGGCGCTATGTGGGCAGATGGGGCACCAAATCAGAGGAGCCGTGTGTCAGGTAGATACTTATTGTCTTTTATTAAATTAAGCACATATCTACTTACGCTAGAAATGATAATACAATATTTAAATTTATAAATACAAAACTTTATAAGTAAACAAATTTCATCCAGGGCCGTACTCTGGGGCATCGTGCCCAGAAGGCTGGAAACATTTCTATCTCCGGATGACGGGTGCAGTAGCGTCTTTGCAATTAAAAGCTCTGAGTGATACTGCTGCAAAAATAACTATAATATTCAGTACATTTAAATAAATAAATAATAAAAATATATTACATAACATCAGATACATTGGTCTGATCAAAAAGTAAGGCCGGTTTCACAACTTCGCGTACGGTCCTTATGGACTGTCCGCCTACGGGCCGTCCGCATGCGTAGAATCCGCAATGCTCTGAATGGAGTAATTAACACGTTCATCTCCGTGGTGGGTCAAATTGACTTTATCTATCTATTGGGGCCGTGGAGGGTTAAAATGACAGGCATGACGCACCTAACTTTGCGATGCTCGTTCACGCCGCATGTGGCAAACGCTACGTATTTAGCCATATAACATGACCGGCGTGGCCCTGACAAACTGCTGTTGCCACTTGGTTTTTAGGATTTTTGATGGCATGCACACTTTTCTAGACTAAGAAGAAAAAATATGTATATTTCGAATAATCAAAAATTACTCAAATTTCTAATTGGACTTAAAAGTTACAAACTAATCAAAAAATGGTTAATATGAAATATCAATCTCATATGAAAGACGTACGTCAGTTTTAAGTAAACATCGATCGAACATTACGTGTACCCCGGCCCGGCACTAAATATTATAAAAACTAGAGCCAAATAATGAAAATAATTACGTAAACAAATGGACCAAAAACAATCATTTCATATTTTGAACATTATTGAAAATTCTAGTCGGCGACGAACGTGTTAATTTAGTGCGAATATTTATGGAAGACGCGGTTCCGTGCGGAGCAATCCGCGTGACTGTAAAACGATATTTTAACGCCACACGTGTTACTCCACCCCGGTGCTCCGCGCGGACGGTCCGCAGTACTCTGAAACCACCTAAGTAACTAAATTATATGTGCTAAGCTGCCCGTAACGAAAAACTATGCGTACTTTACACAGCAATTGTGCCTTTTTTTCGTTCGAGGGCAGTATGGAGATTGGAGATACAACGACGGTACCACCACACAAAACAGAAAAGTTAGTTTTCCCGGCCGGGGATCGAACCTGGGACCTCAGAGATGGCGACACCACGAAAACCGATGTACAAACCATTCGGTCACGTCGTCTTATATACTTGTTTCACAAGAAACTGCTATAAAGAAAATTTCCTCATAAAATATAAATATGAAATAGACGACATTATCGCTAAAAACTTTTTCCTCCACTCTATCTGAAATAATACGAAATTAAGAGTGTTTAAGTCTGAAAGTTACAATCAAGATTATAGCACGACATAAACGCTTTGCCCGAAAGTTATCTCGCGCTTAATCTAGATATTCTAATTTCTGAACAAATTGTGTCATTAGTCGGGCTTAATGTTAAAATCTTAAATTTCGAAGATTTATCTAAGATTTTAGAAGTGTAGTCAAGGAATTAAACTCTCTGGGCAAATTCAAGACGTCTTCATTTCATAGGTAAGCAAATTACATTTGAAATCGTCGAATTTATTAAACATTTGCTATTCATTCGTAACGCAGATTCCCCTGAGAAGAATGACTACACAATTAACCATTTCGATACCTCCAATGAACACTACATCAACTTTATTTTTTGGTCATTTTCTGTTGTTTTTGTAGCCATATTTATTTACTAATATTATGCTCCCCGAATGTTGTGAAAAAAAAATAGAAACAAAAAACAAAATTGGAAAAAAAAAACAAAAAAGCATTTTATGAAATAAAAAAAAAACAAAAATCAAAATAGAAACGGAACAGGCCCAAAAATTAAGTTCGGGTAGTGTTCATTGGAAGTATCGATTTATTTCCAATATCATAAGTAGAAACAACCTGAAACAATAAAACAGATCACTTTTCTGGTTTTTAATCCACGTAGTTACACAGAAGTTGCGAACCTTTTGTAAGTAATTTTAAACCACGTAAATGGCAAATTTTGAATATCAACTGTAACCATATTATTATAGAAACTCTGCCTCTTAATTGGCTTGGTGTATTTTGATTCATCGGATTATGTCTATGACAGGTTTTAATAAAAAAATCTTTTCTTCTTAATATAAAGAAGGATGGCGACATACCGTGTATTTTATGACCCAGTGTTTTGACGACGTGCGTTAAAGAGTCAAAGTCAAAGTCAAAGTCAAAGTCAAAGATTATTTATTCCATAGGTAAAATAAATTTACAC